AAATAAGTGTACTAAAAAAATTTATAAATTATTACTTTTTTTGTAATTTTGTTAATTATTAATCTTATCAATATTTTCTTTTATAGAATTATAAAAATTAATATAAATAATAAATTTCCTTAGATATTTTAAAATGTAAAAGATAATTAGAAATGTAATTTACTAAAAAAAATCTACCTTTTATATATTTTATCAGAAAAATTTTAGTAAATACTTTAGATATTTTAGATTAGGTTCTATTTTACTTATAATAAATTAACTAATTTTTATACTAGAATTTATAAAACAAATAATAAAATTATAAGTAAATTTCATGTAAAAATAAAAAATTGTAATTTATATTAAGATTAATATTCTAAAATTCTAAATTAAATCAAATTTAGCTTAAATTTATAGAATTTTCAAAATTATTAAATATCTTTTTTTTATTTAAATCAAATTAAATTTAGAATACTACTCAAAATAAATTATCTTAAAAATTTTTAATCTTTTATTAATAAAATAATAGAATTATATATAATTATATCAAAAGTTCTTGAATTTTATCTTTACTTTTAAATTATATAATAAAAATTTTAATGCTTTTTTATTTCTAAAACTTAGATTTTATATGAGTATTTTTAAATTTACTATTCTTTAAGACTAATTAATTTTTATTTATTTTTATAATATATCTATAAAATTACTAATAATCATATCAATTATTATTATGGTTAAATTAAAATCTGACTTTTCTTTTACATGAAACTTAAAATTAAAAAGTAATAAGAATTGAAATGACTTTAGATTTCTATAAATCTTTTATAAAATTATATGAATTTTTTTAAAATAATATTATCAGAAAAAATATATGCTTATTCTTTAATACTAATAAAAATCTCATTATTGATTAACAACCATTTTATTATTAATTTTTCAAAATTTTCTTATTATATAAATTTTTGGATTTAGATTATCTATTACATTTTTTTTCATCATAATCTTACTTTTAAGTTAAGTTAATCACAAAAAATATTTTTGAACTTTAGATAAGCTAGAATATTATATATTTTACTAATTTTTTATTATAAAATTTATTTAAAATTTCATTTTTCATATCTTTTTTCTCATAATATTTAGAATATAATGTAAATTATAATTTTAATTATTCTTATAATCTATAATTTATATCAAATATTTCAGTAATCAATAATTTAAATAAAATAAAGTTTTATATATTGTAGCTTTAACTATATATATCATATTAAAATTTCGACTAATTTTTATTATTAGTTTTGAGATAATTGACATATAAGATAATGTTAAAGACTAATATTTTTGCCTTCTTAATATTGAATTATATTAAAATTTTTAACAACAATTAATTCAAACTAGCTCAAATTTTGATATTCTATAAATATATTATATAATAAATTTTTATTCAAATTGAATTACCGGTTTTTAGATATTAAAACTGTAATTAAAATAATTCGTGTATTATTTGTTTACATACATATCAACATCAAGCAAGTCAAATTAAGTGAAATATTATTGGTCCAATTTTAATCGATGAGTACTGTAAGATATACGATGTCAAAGATAGTGTTCAGAAACTTTTAGTTGGGACATAGACCCTTCTTTTCACAATTTGACATCCTCTTTTCGACCATGGCAAGGTATTAAATATATATCTATCATGCTGTTCTCATCCATTTCTGAGTTCACCCGATCCTAATGAGTGGGATAAAGGCGAATGCATTATACCTTACTTGCTGGAAATTTCTTCTTGGAATTCTTGGGTGGAAGCTTCCTTCTTTGGATGTTTTTGACAATTGCAACCCTTCCGGAGGTGGTCCATCATTGCATTTTGGATTTTGGTAGGTAAATCTTGTTCTTATAAAAAAAAAAGATTTGGTTTTTGGGAATGTGAGTATAGTAGATTGTCTTCCATAAAAATGCGGAAATTTACATAAAACTGTCAAGTAGATTAGTAATACGAACAATTTGATTTATTCTTGACTTTATTTTAATAAAAATATTTATATACAATATACAGTATTTATTAAATTTTAAAGTGATAATATAATAAAACTCTATATTCCTTTTTTAATTGGTGGTACACACAACCAATTACATAATTGCAAATCCCGCATGAACAAAAAAGTTAAAATTTCAAAGGGCTTTTTTTATTTTTTTTTGTTTCACATTGAAAATAAAACACATTGTTTATAATAATATTGTGTGTAGAAGGAATATTAATGGGTTTAATAAATTTTTTTTTAGTTTGCTTATTATATATATGAGTTTCCCAGCGTCATGGCAATCATCCTAGGCGTTGTCCGAATTTCAATACAAAAAGCAAGTCAAAAGAAGGAAATTGTTTACTTTCGGATTACACAGATTTGTAAAGTTCTTCGGGAAAATACTTTTCAAGAAATTCCCTTAACAAAACGTTTATGAAACGTGTAATTTTCTGGATTACCAAAATATTTTATCGTTATTCATTGGATCACGCCATAAACAAGCAGAATGATTTAGTTTAATTGGGTATGATAAATGTATTTTGGCCTATTGTTTCCATAATAAGATCACGAAGATTTGAAAAAATTGGAATGATACGCCGACCCATAAAGGGTATATCGGCTGAACTTAATTGATTGAACAAAAATTAATTTACTAAAAACGGTTTTGGTTTGAATATTTTCCCCTGTCAAAGCATTTTTTTACTGAAATAGTTTAATTTCATTTGTGCATAAATTAATTTGGACATGAATAAAAGGTGCCATGAATATATGACTCATTGTTTAGCATACTCATTCTACAATTACTCGATATAAAATTTTTCTGCGCCTTATTTTTGTTTCTGAATTGGGTAATTTTATAATCACCGGAGATAAATTCAAAAAATCAGTCACTTGGTTACATCACACTAGACAAAGAAAAAATTTGCTTATAAATAATGGGTGAAATATCGCTATTGAATCCCTAACCAAAAAAGAAAAATATTTTTTTTTTCCACCATTCTGTTCTCCTTTTTTTTTTAAAAACAAAAGAAAAAAAGAATAAAAAAACTTTTTTGAGAATCATATAAAATGGTCACCACAAATGACGAAATTGACAATATAAAGGAAGAATTGCGCAAAAACCTTACTCAGGATAGTAACGGTAAAGGAAAATCAAATGATAATAATAATAATCAAAGAATGAATAGCTTCAGGTATCCAGCTATTTTACTTATCGGAGATACAGGTGAGAATACTTTTTTTTTTTTTTTTTTTTTTTTTTTAAGACGCGTTAATGTTTATTTATGTATTTATTCGCTTCTTGTAGGTGTCGGAAAGAGCACTTTGGGTAACTGGTTGTTAGGACATCATGGAGATGATGGGCCTTTTGAGACTCAAGCTTCGTTCGACCGCGTAACTTTAGAACCACAAACTGCATTAATCGAAATTAATGGTTGTAAATATAATTTAATCGATACGCCAGGTTTATTTGATTTAAAGGATGATAGCAGATCAGAAATCTCTCTAACCAAACTAGCTAACACAATTAATCATTGTTCATATGGGATACAAACGATCATATTTGTGGTAAAAAAATCATTTGGTAAAGAGATTGATAGGCAAATTCAAGCAATCAAAGGTTTTTTAGGTGAAAAATCTTTGGATCATATGTTGATCGCTTTCACGCATTGTAATATGGAACAAACAATGGATAGAATAATTATGAAGGAGACGTTTACCTCCAAGATGAAAAATTTTCTCGATTATATTGATAATAGATGGATCATTTCACCCAATCCTGATTTATTCAATTTAGACGATGATATTGTTTATACCAATATTTATGAAGCTAAGGATATTATTGGTTCTTTCCCTGAAGCTTATACTACTGAAATGTTTAATAGAGTGCGTAGAGCTAGAGAAGATGCCGAGGAAGCGGCTAGAAGGCATGCCCAAGAAGAGCGTCTGAGGTCTTGTGAAGAAGAATTAGCAAGAATCCGCGGGGAGGTCGATAAAGCTGGTAGACTTAAAGCTAATGAAGAAGCTCGAAAGGCTTGCTTTTCCTTGGACACGATTGTTACGTTAAAGGATGGGAGAAAGATTGAGATGTCTGAAGTTAAAATTGGCGATCACGTCGCCTGTGGTGTATATAATAATGGTGGTATTAAGGAGATAAGATATTCGGAAGTTTATTTAATCGCTCATTTAGATAAACATCAACAGACCGAATTCTTAAAGGTTGAATATATAAAACCTGACGGAATGACTGGTAATTATCGTTCTACTTGCGCTAACATTCAAAAATATGATTTTGGTATTTATTTAACTTTAAATTTTTAAATATAATAGGATCGTTGTATTTGACTTCGGAGCATCATGTGTTTGTCGATAATGCATTTGATTATGCACGTAATATTCGTCCTCACGCTTCACAGATTCACGTTCTAGACAACGGAGAGTCAATTTCCGTAAAAGTAACAAATGTTTCCAAGGTAGATATTTCTTTATAAACAAATCTCTTTCTTCTCTTATTATTTTTTTTTAAATTAATCCTTTTCTCTTTGGTTTTATTTATTAGGAAACACGAGAAGGATATATTGCAATATTTACACGAGTTGGAACAATTATTGCGAATAATGTATTATGTAGTTGTTATTCTAATTGTCCCCCATATCAAAATACTATTCATTATATTTTGTCCCCATTACGTTTTATTACTTTATTTCGTAAATCCAATCATTATAGTAACGAAATCCATCCTTACTTGAAGTTCCTTTACAATAATTATCAATACTTTTCTGGAACTTTTAAACATAAACTATGTTAGAAGAGTTTTTTTTTTTTTTTTTTTTTTTTTTTTTTTCAAGATTTTTTTTTTTATGTAATTTATAGCTTCTTTTTTCTTTTTCTTTTTTTTTTTTTTTTTCCTAGAATTTTTTATTTTATTGTAATATTTTAATTTATTAAAAAGAAATTTAAACATTTCTACCCATTGAATGTACAGTTTGATATAACCTTTTAACTTTTGCGATGGGTTAGAATTACTACTATAAAAATAACAACAACAACACATGCACAAGAACTTGCGTAAAAAATCTTCTCTCTGCGTCCGAATTTTGCGGGAGTTTCTCCACGTGCATTAGGGTTGTTAACCTCTTCTTTTCTTACATTTTCATTATCTCTTACTTCCATAATCTTTTTTTTCAACTCATCAACAAAATCTTTAATTACAATTTTACCCTGATCATTATTACCAAATAAATCTAGACTCGGCATTACGATCCATCGATTTTTTATACCATATAATAATGTTGATATTTGTGTGTTAAAGGTTTTTTCCATTTCCATACGCGATAATATTAACGATTTACGTACTTTTGTGAATACTACTATTATACGTGTATTTGGATATCTCGTGAATAATTTAGAAATAAATAAAAGTTCATGTTGTGTTAATCTTCCTCCTTCTAAAGTACGCAAAGGAAAATGTTAATGAGAATCCTTTGAAGGAATAGGAAATGACCCAATTTTAATTATACAAACCTAATACAAAAATATATGCGACTACTCCTTCAGATGATTTATTTTCAATCTTTTTTAATTTATTCCAGATTACATCTGATGTGCTAGATTCTGGAATACCAATCGTATCGACTAGACTATATCTTTTAAAATCTATCGTAATTTCTGCTGTGTGATAAATCTAAAATAAAAAGTGGAGAGTGACTTAGAAAAAAAGAACATGACGAAAATTGAAAGGTTTGTGAAAGGATGTCACGTTACTTCTTGTGAATCATCATCATCATCATCGGGATATTGCCCATTGGAAATTGGAAATATTGGTAATGGACTTTCTTCTGAAGGTTGAGAATAACATCCTAATAACATGTTACCCAACGTACTCTTTCCAACCCCTGACATCAAAATACTTGATACATAAATATTAATGAAGAATAAAAAGTATATATATATATATATATTAAAATTAAAAAAAAAAAGCTTTCAAAACCCTTTTTTACCTTGTGCACCCAATAAAAAAATCGCAGGATATTTTATTTCTTCATTTATTATTACTTTTTGACTTTCACTTTCTTTTTCTAACGTCACTACACTATCTGGCATTTTTTCATTTTTTTTTTGGAGGGGAAAAAAATAAACTGTATATTCACAAGATGATAATCCGAAAATCGTTAATTTATCAATTTAAGGCTTATGTATTTTTTTCTCACAGAATTGCATAATGCACTGCCTTATATTTCGGGTAATAACGGATGTGGAAGTTCTCTTTTGGTCACATAGATAAAAGTTCAATTGTTCAAAGAACCTTCAAAACCTAAAATTTGTTTCATACGATAACGATAACATTTATAAGGTATTATCTTTTTTTACTATTAATTCATCTAAAATAATCTGATAATGATATTTCTTTTTTGATATAAAGTAAAAATATTAGAACTAATAAAATTTACTTAATAATAATTGAATTTAATAAAATTTGATATAGTTAATTTGTATTATTTTTAAATCAGAATTAGTTAACTTGTAAAATAAAATAATAACCATATATAATAATAATTTTTAAAGTAATTATTATATTTTAAGATAGATTTTCTAATAAATTACATTGTAACTTGTTTAAATTCTATTTAGATCTAATAATTAAACTTTGAAAAATAAAACGGAATTTATAAAAATGCTAATATTATTATTATTTTAATCAAATAAATTATTATAAAAACTTTAATGTAAAATTTTTAAAAATTTTTTAACACTTTATGTAAGAAGTATAAATCAGTAAATGTTTATATAGATAAAACAAATTATTAAACTAACAAATTGAAAATATTTTAAGTTTAAGCAAAAAAAAAAAAAAAAAGTAATAAATTAATTAAATGCTCATAATATTACTTTTTTTTAATCATAATTTTTTGAAGTTAATTAAAATAAATAAAGAAAATATTATATTTTTTTTTATAATTTTCAAATTTTTTACCTTTTTACCATTATCTCTTAAATTATAAGTATAAAATTATTTATAAAAAAAATTTAGAAAACTTAAAATATTTTGACATCTAATGATTATAAAAAAGATAAAATAAGTTTATTAAATTTATCATATTAAATAATAATTATTTAATAATAAAATTTAGTTTATTGGATTTATCTCATTAAAACCTATTAAATAATAGTATTTTATATTTTTAAGATTAATAAATAGCAAGATATATAAATTTAAAATTTTAATTTTTTTTAATAATAATTTTCATTTATTTATCTTTAAAAAATTACTTGTTAATTATATTTTTTTTTTTAATTTTTACTTAAAAAAATATCATTAAATTTATTATTAATAATATATTTTAAAATATTTAAAAATAATTAAAATAATTTTAATTATTGCCTACAAATTTGTAAGCAAACAATTAAAGAAATAAAATTTAGCTAATAAAGATATTAAACTGTTATAAAAAATGAAATTATAAATTTAAGTTTATATTCAAATTTTTTTTAATTATTTAAAATACATTTCTAAATATATTTAAAAAAATTTTAACTTTTATATTATAATTGAATTTTAAAGAAAAATGCTTAAAAAATATTAATACATATTTTAAATCTAATAAAAATATATAATTAATTTAATAATTATAATGATTTTTAATGATATTATATAATTAATAACATTTTTATATTTTTATATTATGTAATATATTGATATAAATAAAAGAAAAAAGGTTACTTTAAATAAATATTATTATTAATAATTTTTTAAAATACAAATTTTTTATATTGAATTAAAATACCAAATAAAATTTAAGTATTAATAAACAATTTAAATAATAAAAATTAAAACTTAAAAAACTATATTAAAATTTTAAAAAAAAAATCTATAAAATTTAATAAAAATTTTAATAAAAATTTAAAAAAATCTAATTTTTAATTTTTAATAAATTCAAAATAAATTTAAATAAACAATCTTAATAATAATAATTATTAACAAATTTATTAAAAATTCTAGATCTTTATAATAATCTTGTAAAGGACCTAATAGAGTTAATTTTATATCATCATCATCTGTATAACAGTCATTTTTTATATCTTTAGATGGAATACCATTATACACAGAAAAAAATCATCTATTTTTATTCTTTTTATAGAAGAATTTTTATACTCATCCTAAAATATTAAAATAAAAAATAATTAATTTTGCAAATTTTATATCTAGTCAATAAGATATTTAGATTTTTCATCTTCTAAGAATATAACATATTTTGAGTTTAGGTTTATATTATAATGATCTTACCTTTTTTGCCAGTCTTGTTGCTTCTTCAATAGTCATTTTCTTATCATCATTCATATCTCGATAATGCTTTCCTGAACTTGAATTTCATTATATATTATATCATTTCCAGTTATAAGTTAGTTTATCTGTTTTATTCATAGATTCTTAATATTAATACGTACACAATCTTATTTTAAATTATTCATCAATGCAGTTTAGTTCTTAATAAAAATAGAATAATTTAAAAATATTTTCAAGAAATAATAATTCACAGAAGCATCGAATTAATAGCCTATCTTATTAGACTAAAAGTCCTAACTTACGTTAAGCATTGAACAAAGAGTTTATCATTAGAGATTAAGAATTTCAGTTTGTGTTAAGCTTCGAACTAAGAGTTCATCACTATTCAGACTAAGATCTTAATCTATTTAAATATCTATCTTATTAATAATCATACCTTCCAATTGTCAAAAATCTTTTGAGCCTTTTTTTGCACATTATTTTAAATTTAGATTTATAATTTGCTACTTCTGAAGATTCTTTTTTATAAAATCTATTACTTTTTAAAAGTTAATTTTTTTCTGATTATACATAGTAATGTTCTGCTAAATTAACGCACGTTTAATTCTTAATTTAATATTTAGACTCATTAGTTAATAGGTTAATAAGTACAAATAATAGTCCTTATAAAGTTAAAAATTGTGATAAAAATGATTCAAATATATATAAAATTAGAAAATTTATTCAATTAAATAAAGAAAAAGCTATAAAAGCTAATACATATCAAAATTATAATTATCTTCAAATTAATGATCAATTGTAAAAGTAGATAAAGTTAAAAGTAAAAAAAGAAAATCAGAAGAATTTAATGAAATAAATATTAGAAACGATGATGATTATATAGATTTTAAATTATTTTATTTTTTAAATCTAAATAATAATAATAATAATTTAAATTTTAATTATTGGTCTAATATAAATATGAAATATTATAATGATAAAGTAATTCTTTTTAAAATATATAAAAAAAATATAATTGAATATGAAAAAAATAATTTAAATTAATTAAAAGAAAATATTAAATTATTATCAAAATATTTATATAAAAGACAAAGACAATTATATTTAGAAATTGAATTAGATCCTAAAAAATTTCAAAATATAATTGAAGAAAATGAATTACAATTAAAAGAATTTTTTGATGAATTAGTTGATATTTTTTTTTCATTAAATAGAAAAATCAATAATATAAAAAATAATAAAAATCTTTTGTTAGTTTTTGTTATTTATTATCTAATTTAAAAAATAAATTTAATAATTCTCTTCAATTAGAATTGAACTTTATTTATTTTCATGTCATGCAATTTCTGAATGTATTGATATAATAGCAAGACTTGGAATTTCAGTATTTTATAAAACAGTAGAAAGATATAAAAAATATATATCAGATAATTATTTTAACAAAATAAATCAATATTTTGAAGAAAATAAAAATAATTTATTTTGTTTTAGTATTAATGATTATCATTTAATACATAGTTATAGAAATCCAAATATAACATCTCTTTTATTAGCATATCATATGACAACATGTGTTGCTAAAACTATAGAAAATAGTACTCCTATACTATTCCTATACCAGCAATAAAAATAATATTTCAATTCATAATTTGAAGATCAGAGAATTAATTATTATTTAATACATACATATTTTAATTTATTAAGTAAAAGTTATAATGTAATAAAATATAATTTACAAAATAATAATTTAATTAATATTAATGAATTTTATAGAATAGAACTTTTAACTATTTATTCATATGATGATTCTATAAAACAACATCAAAATAATAGATTAATGAAAAATTATCATCTAGTTAATATAAAGAATTAAATCTTAAAAGTTTAGATGATTATTTAAAGGCTATTAAAATAATAACAGAAATTTCTTTATTAAATACTTATCTTTAAGAGAATATATACCAATTGTTACTGATTTTTCAGATCAATTATTTATAAAAAAAGCAATAAATTTACTTAATAAATAAAAAAAGAACAAAAAATTTCTATTTAAATTTCTAATATTATTAATCATTTTATTTCAATTTTTGAATTATTACATGTACTATTAAATATAAGAGAAGATATTATATTAATTTATTAGAATTTTTTTGAAAAATTATTTAAATTAATTTTTGGTAAAAATAAAAATTAACAAAAAAACCTAAACCTTAGAAAATTAATTTGCTTTTAAAATTAGCAAATTCAACATAAATTGAGATTGCTATAGAAATAATTCATAAATTTGAATCACTTTGTAAAGATATTGAATATCAAATATTAATAGATATTTTAGATAATTTAATACCTGCAGCTTTAGATATTATAGTAAAATATTTTGATTTAGATTTTATAATTAATATATAAGTACAATTTTTAGATTATGAACATTTACTTTAAGATAAGAAAGAAAAAATTATAATAAGATTTTATTAGCTTTTCTTTCTAATATTTTTTATTAGAAAAATAATAATTATCTATTTCTTGAAATAATTTTAATGATTATTATATTGAAAATTAGCATAGTAAAATTAGAAGAAACACAACTTCTCAAAATTCTTTCAATGCTATTATTTCTTAAGCATTTATATTAGAATCACATAATCAAACTTTTTTTAATACTTTTAGAACAATTAAAAATTATCCTTATAAAGAATTTACTTTAGATTATTTAAAATATAAAACAAGTATATTCTTTATTAATTACTTTTATCAAATCTTTAAAAATTTAAAAAAAAGTAAGAAATTAAAAAGAATGAATATTATCTATCAACATTAAATCAGAAATTAAAATTAAAATACTTATCTATTGGATATCATACATCTAAACTATTATCTTATAATATTTGTGATTATTGTAATCAAAAATTTAGAAAAAGGCATAATATTGATATTTGAACATGCTTTCCATTACAAATATTTTATAGAACAAAATAATAAGTATAATTATTGTTTAGAATTCTATAAAAAAGGTGTTGTATATTTAATGTAAAATCCTATATAAAAAGATTAGAAAAATATGATAATATTAATAATAGCTTATTAGATGATAAAATATTAGATAATGATAATGAAGAAAAAGAAAAAGAAATAGTAGAAAAAATATTGGTAGACTTTAATAATGCTTTAGAACTTGTAAAAACTTGGTAAAATACAAGTCATTAAATAAAATATATTATAATATATATAATTTTAACCTTAAAATTTTAGCTCTTATCTAATTTTCTTAATAGCAGAAATCTCTGAATCTTTTTTTACTCAAATATAAAGAAAAAAATGAATGATATATTGATACAAAAAATTATGCATTGATAAATTAATTTTGAAATATTATCAATCTTTTTTTTATTTTAGTAAATTTTACAGAAAATTTGTATTTTTTGTTTTTCTATTAATTAATTAATAATTAAATTTGTTTAGATAATAGTTTTAGAATTTTATTGTATTTATTTATTTATTTTGTAATATTGTATTTATTTCAACAATAAAAATCTAAGTTAACAAAAATTTTTTAATTTTTATTTTTATTATTTTTTTATTAATAATATCTAAAATTTATTTTTTATAATATCTCTAAGTTACTTTAACCTTAGATTTAGTTTAATCTTCTGAAAGCCTACTGAAAATCTTATTAATAGCTAAATCTAGAAGTTCTTCATCATAAACTAATGATTCTTCAAATATTTTTTCTCCTTCAGAATTATTTGTTTTCATTTTTTTCTTATCTTTATTTGATCATTAAGTAAGTGTGACGATTTTAAACTATCTACTTAGCTATTTAATCACTTGCTTATAAAATATTTTGCTAAGTTTAAAATAAATAATAATATTATAATATTATATATATTAATATAAATATAATAATAATACATTAAAATACATATCTTTTGATTTAAAATTCTTTCTTTATTTGTAAAAAGCAGTTTTAAAAGATCAACATTTATATCAGTTTTAATTTGTAAAGATACATAACCTTTTTTATTCTATTTCTATTTATCATATTCTATAAATTCATTCTATTAATTTGTAATATAAATCAAATAATATTTAATTTTTAATTTACCATTACAAGTATATGTATTATTTAAATAAAAATATCAAGTATTTATTGCTGCTAAATATTTATTACAAGAAAATATAATAATAAAAGTTATTATTTAAAATAATAAATACAAAAAATTAAAAAAATTAAATTATAACTTACGTTTATGTAAGTACTCTTGTAAGTATATTTGTTTAAGTAGTATTAAAATTATTATTATAAATAAATGGATCAGTTTTAAGATCTACATTAGACTGTGATACTTTTAAGTCATCTGAACTAACTAGCTTGCAAGCTTTAATCTAAATCCATCACTTATTTTCTGAATCATTTGGATCTTTACCAAAAATGGATATCTAATGCTAGAAGAACTATCACTTCATTCACAAAGTGAATATTATATTATTTTTAACAAATATTAATTCTTAATTAATTTTTTTATAAAAAATAAAGTTTAGTTAATTCAAAACTTACATTATGAAATGCTACTTTAGGATTTGTCTAATTTTTCACATGATTCACATGTGTAATTCCTTCATTTATAGTTGCTAGATATTCAATTGAAACTAAAGAGTACTGAAGCCGTAATCCATAATTGCGTTAAAATAAAGTCATGTGATCTAAATGATCGACATAGTTGATAAAGTTGATGAAATTGACAAAGTTGCTAAAATTGTTAACGTTGATCAAGTTGATCAAGTGGACATATTAGATATATGGATTATATTTATCATATTTATTAATTATATCTTATT